AGCACATAGAATGAAGATAAATATACCTGATACATTCGGATTTCGGGCAGCTGGACATTGTTGTCAGAGCGACTGGTGGGAAGCTTGTCCTTGATCATGTCTAGAGCTGTTATTTTGAATCACATGCATCGAAATGGAACCAACAGTCGAAGGGTCTTTAGGAAACTCCCAACGAATGATATTCTGGCACTTCGTTATCAAGCTGTAACTCGTGATGTGGCTATTCGGATCACAAGTAGTAGCTGGCATGACAGCACCAAATCATGTTGACTCGAATTATCAATCGAGCCGAGAAAAGAAAGTTCATAAAGAAGTCGATCATCGCTAAATGAAAAATGCTGCCCGATGAAAATTATAAGTCGTTAATTAGCTATAAAGAAAAAAGGACCACTACATAACACTTGTTATCATTATTATTTATTTTATTTTTACTATATTACCCCCACGCATTGTAAGCAGCAAATGGATCCTACACTGTTATCGGCAATGGCATTCCTTGAACCGATACTCGATTATCACTCTCTTGATTATGATGATTGACCATTGAAGTTGGACATTTTCTACCCTTAACCATGTGTTGATTATCATAATTATTATTATAAGCAGTACTGTTAAACGATGGCACGTCCGATAATAATGGTGCGTTGTTTTCTTGTTGTGGGCCCGCGGCCTCGCCTTTTGACTTTTTCAGGTGCATTCTATATTTCTGCCATTCACAAAACACCACCCAAATATTATATACAAAGGATAAAATAAACAATAAATATAAATAGGGATTGTACACTAATTAAGCAGTGAGATAAGAGATTTTGCCTGGAGATGACTGGAAACATGTTCCCCCGAAATACCTTCGACATTCATAAGCTCCACGATCCATTTCAGCACAGCTTCTACCACATATATGTAGATATTAACACGTCAAAATTTTATATACTCGGATAAAAAAGAAATAAATAAGTAAATAAAATAGTAAATTTACTGTCGACTCACAATTGATCAATGACAGCAACAAATTTGCGGTGAAGCTCTTGCGACCAGATGACACGTGGCTTCTTCTGCTTCGACGACACCTCATCACAGGTGTGCCCTTTGTCATTATTCGGGTTTTCATTACAACAAACACTATTATTGTTGGAAGTTTCTTTCATCTCCACATGAGATTCACCCACAACATGATTAACAATCTTATTATTATCAACATTCTTGTTCTTCTTCAACTTTTTCCTCACCACATGTTGCCATATATTCTTCAGCTCCTCGACTCTTACGGGTTTTACCAGATAATCACAAGTGTCGTTCATTATCCCTTTTAATACCCGTTTTTTACTATCATCCCACGACACCACTACACAAACACAAACACCAAACATTAATCTCATCAAGAAAGCCACATTTTCAGCTCTAATTCATGACAAAAAAAAAAGGCTTAATTAAGAGCCTTACATACGACCGGGATGTCATTTGGAGGCTCACTTCCTTGAGCAGAACAAATCCATTCATGTCGGGCAAGTCGACTTCACTTATTACTAAGTCAATTCGACTGTTGTTATCGCGTAAAATTTGAAGTGTTGTGATTGCTCCCTCTGTTGTACTTACTGCCAAAAATTTCACACATACATATATACATAGATAAAAAAAAAAAAAAATGAATAAATATGGAGAAGAGAAAGGAAATAAAAACCATGGTATTGGCACTGGCGAAGGAGGGCTTGTGAGATGAAAAGGCAAGTGGAGCTGCCGTCGACAAGTAGTACACGAATCATGGCTTCCTCATCCCCCATATCTTTTTTTTTTTCTTTCTCTCGGAAGAAAATGATATTAGAAGTGCTCTGAAGAAAATGTCAGCAGAACATAAATTGTCTTTAATATTCGAAAACAAAACCGAGTGAATAAATATATTAAAGTGTATGAAACAATAATAATATGCAACTCAGAAGAGACAGCCGGAAAAAAGAAAATGTCAGCAGAATTATAATTATCTATCTATATAATTATATGCACCTCACTAAAATACAATAATAATAATAATAATTAACAACAATACAGAAGAGACAGGAAAAAGAAAAAGAGTTGAGAAGAAGAGAGTGGAAAACAAGGAAGAAGTACACGGGGAGAGTTATGCTGCCTGCGTGATTCTCTCCTTTTTTTCTTCTATTTGTTTATTAATGTAATCATCCAAAAAATTAGGAGGTAACAATTTATATTTTTTTTTTTATTATTAATCGTTCGTGTTTAGTTAAGTTTTTTCAATAGATATTGAGTTTAACCTTAACCAACTCCAAATAATTTGTCTCCAAGTACTACGTGATATTACTTACCAGTTGATAACCAATTATTTACAGTATATCGAAAGTAGGGGTATGATTGAAAAAAAAAACAGTGATTTTTTTTTAGCCATTTTGATATGTCATATGTGATTTTAGCCATGTTTGCAAAAACATGCTTTTTTAACCATTTTGGCACCTAACAAGATAAAAGTACCCTTACTATCTAATTTTCTTCAAAAATAAAAAATAAAAAATTCCCAGAAATCGATCCTGGGTTACAGAAACGATTCTGGTTCCAGAAATCATTTCTGGGATCCAAATAAATGGTTTCTCAAATCCCAGAAATTTTTTCTTGGACCAGAAATCATTGAAATATCTTGGAAATGATTTTTGGATCCCTAAAATGGTTTATGGGATCCTGGAAACGTGTAGGAACATCTCAAAAATGATTTTTGAATCATATAAACTGTTTCTATGATTCCGTAAATTTATATGGTCTTTACAGGATATTGAATGTGTTAAGACTTAAGATCTTGAAGCAAATTTGATCTAGGCATCTTTGCAAAGTGTTGGAAATGCTCCAAGTTATTTCACGAATTAATGAGATTGTATAGTGTTTTTTAAGACCAACTGGAGTAAGGTCCATAATACATGAATATCACCCGATTACAAATGGACATATTATGTCAACCTACTCAAGTCATTAATTTTTTTACAATTTGTTCAACCTACACAGATATTACAATTTACAATTTGTTCAACACAAACAGATGTAGGTATATACTTATGTGTTAATCAACAGTAAAAATATCTAATGACTACACTACAATCACTAGGATCGAAGTTACACTAATTCTTAAATTTTAAGCATCTATTATCCAACAATTTCTAGATTGAAAAATACAAATTCTTGTGTAAACATTAAAATGATCGACTTGTCGTACATTTCCAACAAAAATACACACTTGTACTTTCATTTGTGTTATTTTTATAGTACGACATTTCAACAAAAATACACACTTGTACTTTCATTTTTGTTATTTTTATAGTACGACATTTCAAAATGAAAGTAGCCATATTCGTTAGAAAACTATGACAACCTAACTATGAGGTTCGCCTAACACTAGGCTTACTGTTTTCAAAAACTTCAATATATAAATTTATATGGACACGAGAATGGAAGATTGCTCCGGTGGAGCAAACCACATTGTACTGCTTGTGTTCATCCACAACTACAGGACCTCCTCAGTGATCTTCATAGCTTCAAAGCTCGTAGGGGTTCACAAAAAGAAAACAGGCTAAAAAATACCCAAGAACCACATCAAACTAATATAGAAAAGAAATCTTTCACCATTAACCACAGATATAACAATCATCGCCTTCAAATCCGCCACCCATATTCGAGCCTCCCTTCCCATTATTGAATTATGTGCGTCTATGCCGAGTATTAGAGTTCACCAGGAACAAAAAAAAAAGAAAATAAAAACCCGAGTTACAAGTGTACATAAAAAAAATTCAATAAATGGGGTATCCGACTCTTTTATCCTTCTTCCCTTTCTTTCAATAAATCCTGTATTCACAAACCTAGAAGACAATTTACTTGACATGACTAACATTTAATAAAGGATCGACAATGTAACTCAATATAACGCTATAATGATTAAAAAAATAAAAATATACGTTGTGTAATGTAAAAAAAAAAAAAAAAATTGTTAAAATTAGCTTATTAGAATATGAATAAGTATGAAAAATAGAGAAAGTAAAAACCATGGTATCGACACTTGCAAAGGAGGGCCTCCAAGATGAAGAGACAAGTGGAGCTGCCGTCGACAAGTAGAACACGAATCATGGCTTCCTCACCTCCATATCTATCTATATAAATAATAATTATATGCAACTCAATAAAAACGACAATAATAATAATAATTAGCAGCAACACAAAAGAGAGGAGAAGAGAAGTTGAGGAGAAGAGAGTGGAAAAGAACGGAGAACTAGGGTTAAAGAGGCTCGACCTTTCTGTCAAATTTTGTGCCTAAGTTTATTTCTTCCAAGGAATCCTGAACTTCTGCCTTGAGATCATCTAGCTTTGCTGGTGTTCATGTCCAACTCAGGTAACTCTATTTTGTCTTCCTTCTCTACTGACTCAGAGCATCTCCAATGGTCTTTCCATTGCTTTACATTATCGCCACATGGCATAAAAATTCTTACGTGGCATGGAAAATGTCTAGAAGGCTTTCTAGATGTAGAAGTCCTTCTAGACAACTTCTACTATATATTATATTATTTATCCAATTTCTCTCTCTTCTCTAACCAATTACAATTTTACACATCACAAATAACACCACAATTAACACTAACCATTGGAGACAAAATTTTTTAATTCCCCTTCTCCATGTCATATAACACAATTTCCATTGGAGATGCTCTCAGAATGCACCAAACCCACACTTCCTTCCCCCGCCTCAAACCGATGACGGGTAGAGCTATGCTGCCTGCGTGATTCTCTCTCTATCTCTCTCTCTCTCTCTCTCTCTCTCTCTCTCTCTCTCTCTCTCTCTCTCTCTCTCTCTCTCTCTCTCTCTCTCTCTCTCTCTCTCTCTCTCTCTCTCTCTCTCTCTCTCTCTCTCTCTCTCTCTCTCTCTCTCTCTCTCTCTCTCTCTCTCTCTCTCTCTCTCTCTCTCTCTCTCTCTCTCTCTCTCTCTCTCTCTCTCTCTCTCTCTCTCTCTCTCTCTCTCTCTCTCTCTCTCTCTCTCTCTCTCTCTCTCTCTCTCTCTCTCTCTCTCTCTCTCTCTCTCTCTCTCTCTCTCTCTCTCTCTCTCTCTCTCTCTCTCTCTCTCTCTCTCTCTCTCTCTCTCTCTCTCTCTCTCTCTCTTTTTCTCTTCTATTTATTTATTAATTAAAGTAATCTTCCAACAAATTCGGAGGTAACAACTTATAAATCATTTTTTATTTATTCATTCGTGTTTGGTTTAAGTTATGTTTGGTAAAACTAGCTAATAAGTTAGCTTATAGCTTATTTGTAATTTTTTAGCTTATAGCTTATAGCTTATGACTTATAGCTGAAAAGCTAGCTTATATGATAAAAGTGTTTGGTAAAATTAGCTGATAAGCTAACTGAAATAAAAGTTTCAACTAACTTATTTGAAAAGCTACCCAAAGTAGCTTATGGGATAAGCTCGAGCTTTTTAAAAAAGCTCGTCCTACCAAACGAGGCTTATTTGAATACAGAGAGCTTATAAGCTAACCAAATAAGCTATAAGCTAGCTTATTTGGCTTACCAAACACAGCCTTAGTTGTTTTGAATAGATATTGAGTTTACACGGTAACCAACTCCAAATAATTTGTCCTGAATATCTGGGAAGTTGATGAAGGAAGAAAATATTATGTAAAATGGAAGGAGCTTCCGTACGATGGAATCGAGCATTGCATCGTTCCACAAAGAAACTGAAAAGTTGAACAAAATGCAATCTAAAGGTGACAAGGTATCTTCTGTGAAACAAAAGCTCTTTTATGTTGGAAGGAGTTGAGCCAGAAGATCCTCATGAGTTTAACAAGTAGTATATGCATTTTCCTTTGATTTTTTATAGTTAGCTTGATGGTTAATAAATGCAACAGAACTGGTATCTGTCATGGAAATGTTTTATAGAATAGTGAATATCCTTTATTTATTTTTTATATGCTGAGTACCTTTCTCTTGTTCTTGTTGAATACTGAAAATTCTTGTTATTTGATGTTTGACTATGTAGTTTTTCTGTTCAAACTTTGTTCTGCTCACAATGATATGCATTGCAGGCAAATCATATAAGCTTCGGGAAAGTTACAACTTTTGGACAAGATGATGGTTAAACTTTAAGAGCAGGTCCACCGAGTTCTGCTATAATCTCAATTTCAACATATGTTGGACATATTAGAAGATTACTGTGATTATAGGGTATGAATTTATGACTTGATGTATCTCATTTACCTCTATACAAAGAAGCGTATGTTACTGATTTATGGTCTATTCTGATAATATATATTCATTTTTCAGAAATTCTAGTTAATCAATATCTTGGTTACAGTTGCTACACTCATTCAGGAATGTTAAACTTGCACTAGTCATTAATGTATATTTACATGTAAAAGATACTGCTATCTAGAAGCCACACGTTCAGGTCATGTGTGGCGGTGTTCACGATAATTCAGGTCAACAGTTAATTGACCCTCAGCCACTGTCCTGTTCTCGGTCTTAATCACAGTTATTGTTTCATCTGACCTCCATAATGGCATATGGCTGCTTTGCCTACTCCTGATTATATGTATCTTAAACCACTTCCTAGGTGCATTTGAGTGTGTGATTGCGATGTTTCAACTATGGTTTTAGACGGATACATGTATATACTCTTTGTAATGATACATAAATGTGAACCATGATTACTGAGAAAGCACAAAGTTTTATTTATATAATCATATATATACCTTCGTGATTTGCAAAATTGAGAAGGTTCAGTTTAATCCAGTGTGAAATGCTTCATTAAGCAGGCAAAAATAGTCTGACTGCTTTATGCAGTTAGTAGTATATGTGCTCATAGGTAATATGATTTTGTTATGCAGGTACGGGATGCTATTCGTGAGGCACTTAGCCGAAGGAGAAAATGATTCACTCACGTTTACAGGCAATTAAATTACCTGTTCCGTTTACTAATTTCTTCTGTGAGTTTCTTGATTTGGATCCTTGTTACTGTTACATAGTTTTTGTTGGTTGCAAATGGTGTGCCCAAAGAAGGACTAAGAGTAGATGATGTACTTGCTAGGTTGGGAGCATTATCAGTGATGAGGAACAGAGTAAGGTTTTGTGTTACTGGGAAGAAATCGAATTTCATCGCTTATGATTGCTAATCTAGAGACTGTTTCCAGGGTTCCTATAATAGTTCTAGTTCTAGTAGATCAAGATTGGCAGTCATTTGGGGATTTTGTTGACAATAAAAGAATCTAATCAAAACAGTAATAACTGATTTTGAAATAACTGAATACATTATGATTTGACGACTCGTGTTTCCATCTCTATCCCAATACGCATTATAATAAGGAAGGAAGTCACCATATATATCTTGAATACAATGTCAATGATGTTCTGTTACTTGTTTTAGAACGAACCATACTATGCAACCTATTTATACCATTTACATTCCCTAAGCAGCTCCTGGAGAATCATCGTCAAATGGAGCAACTTTTGATGTCGACATGAAGGATAGCTCCTCTTACAAGTGTTTGGAGGTGATGACTATTTTAATATTTATTTTGCTTCTTTTTTATGCTGATAAATGCATGATAGGGATTGAAAAATGGTGTTTCATACCAATAGCTTTTATCGTTTTACATATTACTAACTATTTTTATTTTCCTTATATGGTTTTGATTTTTTTTTTTTAAAGAAGCATGGACATTCAAAATTGAACGATGTATAAATAATTCATAAATGAATAATAAATTAAAAAATAATACACTTTAAAAATTAATAACAAAAATATACCATAAATCAATCATTCCAAAATCATGAAAATTGGTATAATTGTTATTTAAAATAAAAACCTTGTACAAATAAAAACAATAAGAAATTTTATAAGCACATCAAATCATTTTCTCCTGTCTTTTGCGAAACTGCAAATGCTATTGGACTAAAATTGCATTATTTCCATGATGAAAGGATATCTATTCTTAATTCTTATTTTCACCTTTGGAACCAGAGCTTAGAATAGAATGGTTAACTACATTTCATTTACACGATTTATCAATGTCATGCCTATATTCTCAAGAAAAAAGAAACAAAACCGAAAAAAAAGTATATGAACAAGATTTTTGCAGCATATGTACTGTAGCTGTGTAGCTTTCAGCATGCATAAATCAACACAAATGTCCACTTTGGTCCATAGCAAAGATATATACCAAATGATAGATATATTCACCAAACCACCATTGATGAATGATATAGTTCTCATCTGATGGGAACAAATAAACCAACCGTACCATATTACGCTCACCTGCTCACCCTGTACGACACAATTATAAATTTGTTTGACTACA